GGGGGGGGGAGATTAACCTAAGAACTTATATGCATAACCCATGGACACAGACAATAGTGTGGCGAAGGCAGGGGGCGTGGAAGGGGTCAATGGGGGAAAAATGGGGACATCTGTAATACTTTCAACAATAAAGATAAATTTGAAAAAATACAATATACTTTTTACTTTCTCCTTCCTTTAAACCAATTTTATACATTGGAAACCTTAAAGCATAAGTTAAAAACTTTTGGAGAAAATTCATATAATTCATAGTAGCCTTCCATCCAGGTAGATGTCTGCCTATCTGCCTAATTTAGACCCAGGTTTAAGTCTGACCCATATTTATTTCTTTAACATGGAAGCACACTAAACTTTATTTGATCATTTATAATGTTCATAACTTTATCCACTTAACCTTTTGGAAATTTAGAGGCTTAGATACTAGATCTAACAATACAGACATCATTGCTTGACTGTGCTTTCTGAATTTTAATGAAATCAATTTAAAAATTACTCTTCTCTAATGAAGCAACATACAAAAATATATACTGGCAATTTAAAATAAATCAGACTATAGACTGACTTGTCTAAACAAGTCTAGATACTATAGTGAAAAAAGTATGAATTTAAAAGCCATTATTAACTTAGATCTAGGAAAATGTATGCAGTTTACATTCTATCTTTAAGAGGCAAATGATTTTAAAATGTTTTTATTGATTTTTTGGAAAGAGACACATCGATGAGACATCGATCTGTTGCCTCCTGCACGCCCCCTACTGGGGGTAGAGCATGCAACCTGGGCATGTGCCCTGACTGAGAATCGAACCAATGACCTCTTGGTGCATGGAGGGAAGCTCAACCAACTGAGCCACGCCAGCCTGGCTAGAGGCAAATGATTTTAAAAATCAGTTTTGTATTAATTATTTACTCTACAAAGGAATTATTTATAAAGCCAAATTATTTTTAGAATATTGACCTTAGTATTACATAAACAAAAGGGCCTTCTACATCTAAATCATAAAAGATTTAAATTATATCGAATAAAGCCCCCAAGGTTGATTGAATTTTGTTATATTCTAATTTTTGAAAATATAATTTACATACATTATATGTAGGCAACTCTTTAGTTATCCACAATATCAGAGTCCACAGTTACTCTAACTGTACTTTAAAAACGTAACAGGCAACTATCAGGCCTTTGCTTTTGAACTGTAGGTACAGTTCTGGGCATTTCTTAGAATTGAGGACCAAAAGGAAAGTAATTATTCTACTTTAAAGTAGCTGCTCAAAGATTTTAGGATATTCACTCTCTGTACCCATTTGTTATAGATATAGTTAGGACAAATGAAGATTTCTGAATCTTTAATTTTAAGAACAGTCAACAGATGAAAATGTGGTTCTGGCATGTCTGTTAACCACAGCTATAAAGGCTCTAAACTAATGCCTCCTTTCTTGTTTTCCTCCCACCGCAGGCCATGATTATTGCTTTCACATCAGACATGATCCCCCGCCTGGTGTATTACTGGTCCTTCTCTGTCCCTCCATATGGGAACCACACCCACTACACCATGGACGGATACATCAACAATACTCTCTCCTACTTCAACATCGCCGACTTCAAAAACAGGAGCAAGGGAAATCCATACTCCGGGCTTGGTAACCATACCACGTGCAGGCAAGTTCTGCTTATGTGTTTAAAAGTGCAGTTCATCTTTAGGACTTTTATTGTAAGGTAATTCTATTTGGTATCGTTTAAATAAAGTAGCTAGAGACATCTTTTCCCAGGTTTCTTTTCAATCATACTTTAAAAAGGATAATATATAAAAGTTAATACAGACTAGGGTTAGAGCTTCCAACCATAAAACAAGATTTAAAGATGAGAATTTCAAATGATTACAGGGAGACTGATCCAGGAGAAGTCTTATATCTTAGAAATGAAGAAACTCTAAGAGTTCCAAAAAGCAAGATAATTCATTTGTTATGAGTGATGTGTTATTCAAACACAACCTGGCAACATTGATTGATGACAAACTAGCCCCCTCACTTATCAAAGAAATACAAAGACAAGAAATGTGAATGCCTCCACCCAGCCGGCAGGATTCTCTAAAGGTGTTCCAAAGCACTCTGCACTGACTTTAATGGCTGGGGAGATCAACTGTAGACAAGGACACATGAGCTAAATTACCAATTGATAAAGTTTGTTGACTATAGATCATCACATGTTTTTGTTCAATTACAGCCTTAAACCTAAAGGATTTAAATTTTATTTAGTTCCGCTCCTCAAAGCTTCCTCTGATTCAGCTTCTCAACAACACAACCAAGAAACCAGAAATAAGCCCTGAGTAAATGTTTCAGAGTTATACATGGTAGAGCCTCTTCAGAATTCCACACTGAATCTGCTTTATATAATTCTAAAGAGTAATTAAACTGTTCCAGGTCCTAATAGGTTACAAGAAGAAAATTAGAGATGTGCTTACCTGAGGGAGAGACACCAACAGCAGTAGCACATGACATCTGACAACAAGGAAATTAGTTAGAAAATTATAACAAGCAGGTAGAGGGGGGCACTCTCTATAAGGGGAGAGAGCCCCATAGCTAAGTGAACCCTGATAACACCATTATATAAATAAATTTATAATTTCTGAAAAGACACTCGTTTTAGTTACACTCTTTCAAGAAGGCAAGGATAAAACTCTGGCAAGAACTTTTAAGATACCCTTGTTTTCTTGTTTTACAAAGATGGAATCTGTCATTACCATCATTTTCCTATTGAATATTCAGTATTACTGGAATAATATCTCAGGGTTTAGTTATCATATTAAACTCTTGGAGAAAATTTATATGATGTCCAATTTTATGACCTCTTTTTAAATGGGCACTTGTTTTACAGTATTTGATCAAAAAGAATTATCTCTGATCTGCCCCCATTGTGTTTCCAGGTACCGTGATTTCCGGTACCCTCCTGGACACCCACAGGAGTATAAACACAACATCTACTACTGGCACGTGATCGCGGCCAAGCTGGCTTTTATCATCGTCATGGAGGTAGGAGAAGCGTACTTTGAAATAATTTATAAGGCAGTATATTTGTATACCTTTTATCAGCTTTAAGTGTTGCCAACTCTGACTTAAAATGTACGATACATTCTTATCTCTTGCTAATAATTATTTTAGGACATTTATTAGTCAAATTTGACCTGAGAATACCCATAAAGCTCACATTAATTAAAAGAAGTTGCTTATCCACTTTAGAGTTAAAAGCATGTTGTGTGCTAAAGGGATTCAGTTATTTTCAATTCAGTATTTATTGAGTGTCTTTGCAGGGGTGGGGTGTAGGGGGGACACTGGGCTACATGTTAGGCCAAGAAGGGCTTTATTCAAAATGAATAAGATGTGATTTCTGCCCTTGAGAAACTTATTGCTGCAATAGTTTTATTGGTATTATTTATTGATTTTCATAATATACCTTATAATATTTTGTATTTTGCCAAAATTAACCAACTCTGAAAATTGATTAAGGCAGCCAAAAATTTTGAATTTAACTACTACCAAATTCCAGAGCCTCAGAAATTGCTCGATTGGTATGGCCAGTTAGGATTACATTTAGCTGCAAGAAACAAAACGTATCTATAGTGGCTTAAACAAGTAAGAGTTGATTTTTCTCACACAAACTTCACTGGAAGTAGGTAATTGCTCCTGAATCAATACCAGCTCACTGATACAAGGGCCATATCTCTGATTTTCTAGCTTCTCTCTCATTGAGTGTAACTTTATGGTTGCAATATGACAGCTGCAACTCCAGATAACACATTTATGTCCTAGGTGAGAATAAAGAGAAGGGAGATGGTAGCCATACCTGTTCCTTTTTGTCAGGAAAAAAAAAGTGCTTTGCCAGAACCCCGTGGAGCAGACTTTCCTCTACATCTCATTAGCTAGACTTATAACAAAGGAGTCTTCCTAGCAGCAAAGAATGCTGAGACAGGAGGTATTTCATTTGCTTTGAATAATCTATTAGCAAAGACAAAGTGGGATAGGCTACCTCACTTCGATCATTTTTCTAGTATTTTTTAATAATTACCAAACACTAAGAGAAGATAATTCATCATTAGCTCACCATCATAAGTGGGTTCCTGAAGTATAGTATCTGGTATACAGCAAGAGTCACTAGTTTATATTCAGAGATGTAGTTACCAAAATGTTTAGACTTCTGTTTTTGCTGTCATGGTAGATGGGATCTGTGAGGGGCCATCTCACTACAAAACATTTAGAATCAGCTTAAAACATAGTTTCCTTTGCATTTTTTAATTCACTAGAAGGAAAACGAATCTACAAAGAGGAAATAATAAAAGGTGATGGGGCTAAAATAGTGAGCAGCGAGCACCCCTGAAGTTCAGGAGTGCTCTGAGAATAAGTGCAATTATCAGTGTCTCCATCAAAAAGCTCAGTTGACCAAGACTGGGGTCAGAGGCAGGTGGAAGGGCTGAGCTTGAGAATCTTGGATTCAGGTTGGGACCCTAGAAAGGCGTCTCATGACAGAAAGAAATGTTTATCTTCTCTGGAGGAAAGTGTCAATTTAGATCCCAGGGTTTTTTCAAATTGAAATAAATACAATCTTACAATCGAAGATGGACAGGCTTCCAGTGAAGATGGCGGCTTCAGTCAGTACTATACTTGTCTCCTCCCACAACCACTTCAGAATTACAACTAAACTACTGAACCATCATTGAGGACCTCCTGAGGTCTAGCTAAACAAAAGTTCTATCACTAAGGATATAAAGAAGAAGCCACAACAAGACTGGTAGGAGGGGTAGAAACAGGGAACCGGCTGGTCCCACACCCAGGTGTGGTGGATAAATATCAGAAGGGGTGTCTAGGCTGCAGAGGTCCCCCACTTGAGGCGTCCCAGCCCCTCACCAGGCTCCCTTGCCCAGGGTTCCACTGCCAGGAAGAGAAGTCCCCATAACTTCTGGCTGTGAAAACCAGCAGAGATTATGGCCGAGACAGAGGGCTGCTGGAGTCCCAGGCATTTCTCTTAATGGCCAGTGTACAGACTTATTCAGACTTAATTGCTTTGAGATCCAGCACTGGGACAGGAGCTCAGAAGGAATCAGACATACGTGGAGGAACTGAATAGTCTGGCATCAGGGCAAGAGCTAGAGGTCAGCCCTCTCCCAGAAAGAAGTGTTAACAGAAGCCATTGTTCCTTTGCTGAGTCCTCCCCTTCCGGTGCAGACTGATGCCATATCTGAGTGTTCATCAACCTGCCTAACATTGTTCTCCCTGCCCTGATGATTCTCTGGGACCTTGCCTCACCCGACTTTTGGATCCCCCCAAGCCAAGTCCAGTGACTTTTCTATACACACAGCCTGTCTTGGTTTATGCTGCAGACTTTTCTAAAATTTCCCAAAGTCTCAGACCCTAAACAAGCAGCATCTGGCCTCAGTGTGCCCCATAACTCTTTCTAAGTGGCCCCAAGCATAGCACTAGGGGCACACAGCCTCAGTTCACAACTTAGCCTCTCCAAGACACCTCCAAGCCCAGGAGAAGTGGCAACCATCTTCAGATCACTTTGTAGCTCATATCAGGTGGCCCCAGGCAGGGCACAGGCAGCAGTTGACCTTGGTCTGCATCCCCAAAGGGACCCCAGAAGCAGCGTACCCCATGGCCAGCTTCAGACCACAGCAGAGCACTACCCAACCACCTCCACAAATGGCACACTCAACAGGCACCAGAGCCCCGGTAAAGCAAATCCTGGTTCGTAGGCTCAGTCCACATACAACAGCTCCTCCACTGTAGTCACAACCAGTCCTTACAACCAATCAGCCTGAAGGTTAGTCCCTCCAAAGCACAATGAAGGCTCAACTACAACAGGAGGGTACACACAACCCACAAAAGGAACACACCTGGAGCACTTGGCTCAGGTAACAAGGGAGCCTGTGCCACTGGGCCACACAGAACTGCAACTACGTAAGGCCACTCTACCAAGAACAGGAGACGTAACAGCTCTACCTAATACTCAGAAAGAAACACAGAATGTCAGCCAAAATGGGGAGACAAAGGAATGTGCCCCAAATGAAAGAACAGGAGAAATCGTCAGAAAAAAAAAACTAAAAGAAATGGAGGCAGGCACTCTGATACTGAGTTCAAAATAATAGTTAAAGGATGCTCAAGGAACTTAGAATTTCAACAGCATAAAAGAGGACATAGGACCCACAAAAAAAAACAGTCATAAATGAAGCATTACAATAACTAAAACAAAGAATACATTAGAGGGAATCAAAAGTAGATTACATGAAGCAGATGACTGAGTCAGTGATTTGGAAGATAAAGTAGCAGAAAACACCCAATCAGAAAAGCAAAAAGAATCCAGCCCAGCTGGCATGGCTCAGTGGTTGAGCATCAACCTATGATCTGGGAGATCACAGTTCAGTTCCCAATCAGGGCGCAGCCCATCAAGGACTGTCTCATCATTGATGTTCCTTTTTTTCTCGTCCTTTCTCTAAAATCAATAAAGACATATTTTTTTAAAAAAAGAAAAAAATCCCCCAAAATGAGAATAGTTTAAGACATATCATAATTAAAATACAAAAGGTTAAAGAGAGAATCTTAAAAGCAGCAAGAGAAAAGAAATTAGTTACCTACAAGGGAGCTCCCATAAGGCTGTCAGCTGATTTCTCAACAGAAGCTTTGCAGGCCAGAAAGGAGTGGCAAGAAATATTCAAAGTGATGAAAAACATGGAACTACAACCAAGATTATTCTACTCAGCAAAGCTATCATTTGGAACAGAAGGACAGCTAAGGAGCTTCCCAGACAAGGAAAAGTTAAAAGAGTTTATCACCATCAAATCAGTATTATAAAGAGTGTTAAAGGGACTTCTTTAAGAAGAAGAAGAAAACAAAATAAAAATATGAATAATAGAATGGCGATAACTGCATATCTATAAACAATTACTTTAAATGTAAATGGATTAAATGCTCCAATCAAAAGACAGTGGCTGAATGGATAACAAGACCCTTACAGATGCTGCCTACGAAAGACTCACTTCGGTTCAAAACACACACAGAGACTGAAAGTGAAGAGGTGGAAAGATATTTCATGACAATGGAAACAAAAGCTGGGGTAGCAATACTTAGACCTGACAAAAGAGACTTTAAAATAAAGGCTATAACAAGAGAGAAAGAAGGACCCAGCAATTCCACTTCTGGAAATTTATCTGAAGAAATCCAAAACACTAAATTGAAAAGACATGGAGCGTTATTTACAATAGCAAAGATATGGAAGTAACCTAAGTGTTCGTCAGTAGAGGAATGGATAAAGAAGTGGGGCATATATACAATGGAATATGACTCAGACATAAAAAAAGAATGAAATCTTGCCATCTGCAACAACATGGACGGACATAGAGGGTGTTGTGCTGAGTGGAATAAGTCAGACAGAGGAAGACAAATGCCATATGATCTCACTTATATGTGGAATCTAAAGAGCAAAATAAAGGAACAAGCAGAACAAAAACAGACTCATAGATACAAAGAATATTTTTATGGTTGCCAGATGGGAGGAGGGTTTGGGGGGATGGGTGAAAAAAGTGAAGGGATTAAGTACAAATTGGTAGTTACAAAATAGTCACAGGGATGTGAAGTACAGCATAGGGAATATAGAGAGTAATATTGTAGTAACTATGTATGGTGTCAGATAGGTACTAGATTTACTGGGGGAATCACTTCGTAAGTTATATAAATGTCTAATCACTATGTTGTACACCTGAAACTAATATAATATTGTATGTCAACTATAATTGAAAACTAAAAATTTATTTGAATAATTAAAATAATGCATCTCTACAAAAAGGAAAAAAGACAACAAAATTAACAATAATTAGGTGAAATAGAAAAAAACACATGAGTGAGATTCAGCCAGAAAACTACTGATTTGCACCATCAATAATTTTAAGAGTTTGAATTATCAGAAAAGGAATATAAATTAACTGTATATAAAAATGTTTAAACAATAGGAACTATAAAAAGTTACAAGGCAATTTTGAAAAATAATTTCATAGAACTTTTAGAAATGAAAATATATAGTTGTTGCAATGAAAAAGTAACATATGGATTAAACAGAAGTGTAGGCAAATCAGAAGAAAGAATTAGTGAATTGGAAGATAGGTCTGAAACAGGGAGAGGAGTGGAAACTATGAAAAAGAGGTTAAGTGGTATGGAAGATAAAATGAAAAGAACTTTCAAAAAAAATCATAGGAGAAAAAAGAATGGATAATGGAAGGGAGCCAATATTCAAAGAGTTAATGGCCAAATTTTTTTCCAGAATAAGTGAAAGACATCTGTTCACAGAACAGAAAGCACAAAAAATATCAAGCAGAACAGATAAAGAAACCCACACTTGCACCCATTATAAGGAAAATGCAGCACACCAAAGATCTTAAAAGTAACCAGAGATAAAGACAGAATGAGAGTAAACTTTTTAACAGCAACATGGAAGCCATAAAATAGCCTAATATCTTTAAAATGCTAAAGGTAACTATAAACCTAGAATTAGAGCAAAACTTTGAGTAATTGAAAATTTTTTCCACGATGACAATACCAGGCCATATGGTTTTATGAGAGAGTGACACCAAACTTTCTAGAACAGATTATTTCAATCTTACACAAATTCCTCCAGAGATCACAAAAGGGAAGTGCTCCCCAACTCCTTTTAGATCCTAAAATCAGACAAGAGAAAGGAAAATCATAAGCCAGTCTCACTCATTACATAGATACAAAGATCTTTTTAAAATGTGTAGACTGACTTGAGCAATATATTTTTTAAAAATGACATCATGCCCCATTGACTCTATCACAGGAATGCAAGGGTGTTATAACATAGGAAAGCCACATATCTATAAATATTACCTACCTCAGAAATAGATGAAGGGAAAACCTCTTTCTTATATCAACCTTTGCGTCTTACTGTATAATTTCCAACACTAATCTCTCATCTCAAAATATTCTCCACCCTCACATCATCTAAATGATCCAAAGCATTTGGCACAGCAGATCACTCTCTCCTCCTTGATACTCTTTTTCACTTGGCTCCCAGGAAAACATTTTTTTTGCCTTTCCTCCTACCCTACTAGGTAGTCTCTTCTTAATTTATTTGCCAGCCCCTTCCTTCTCTCCTCCTCAATAATCCTGGGGCTCATTCCTTGGTTGTCTGCTTTAAATGCCATGTATATACCAATGACTCACAAATGGATATCTCCAAACCACCTCTCTACTGAACTCAACCCATGAATCCAACTGCCTACTTGACCTTTCTGCTTGGATATCTGACAGATAGCTTAAATATACTGCCCCGGCCCGGCCGGGCGTGGCTCAGCGGTTGAGCATTGACCTAGGATCCAGGCGATCAGGGTTCGATTCCCGGTCAGGGCACATGCCTGGATTGCGGGCTCACAGCCGATCAATGACTCTCTCATCATTGATGTTTCTATCCCTCCCTCTTCTTCTCTCTGAAATCAATAAAGATATATTATATACACACACACACACACACACACACACACACACTCTCACTCTCTGCCCCAAATCCCCATATCTGCTTAAATTTATTTCTAATGTNTACACACACACACACACACACACACACACACTCACTCTCTGCCCCAAATCCCCATATCTGCTTAAATTTATTTCTAATGTTCTCTTCCGGACCATGTTCTAAATCTTTTCCATATAGACTGTCTCCCTGCTCTGAATTATGGTAGTTCCAGCTCACCAGTTGCTCAGGCCAGAATTCTTAGACTCCTCCTCATTTTCTCTCCCCCACTTACCCCACATCCAGTCCTGTTGGCTTTTCCTTGGAAAATATATCACAGATCTGACCACTTCTTACCAACCCTGCTGCTACCACCCAAGTCAGAGCCACCACCATTTTTTGCCTGAGTTGGCACAACAGTCTCCTAACTGGACTCTTTATTGCCTTCATCTCTCTCTCAAAGGCCTTACACAGTTTAGCCACACTCCGTTACCTCCCTGATGTCACTTCTCTCCTTGCTCACTTCACTTCAGCCTTGCCATTCCTGGGCCACATCCTGCAGGTTCCACAGTGTAGACTCTGCACTGCTGTTCCCTTTACCTGGATTGTCTTTCCTCCTGATATCTGCGTGGCTAATTCCCTCACCTCATTAAAGTCTTTGCTCAGTGAGGAATACCCAACTAATCTATATAAAATCTGTATGAAATTCACCTCCCACCATAACACTCAAAATAACTCTTACCCTGCTTTACCATTTACCTGTAGCTGTTACACTTTTTAACACCATGTAAATTTTGTTTTTAATTATGTTTATAGCATATTATCTCTATCCCCTTACTAGGTCAGAGATTTTTGAGTAGCGAACAAATAAAAAAGTATTCAACCTCATTCAAGGAAATGCAAAGTAAGACCAAAGTGAAAGTCCATTTCCTAATCACTGTGTTGGTTAAAGCAAAACCAAGTCTGATAGTAAGTGCTGGCAGGGATGCAGAGCAGCCGAGCCCGTCATCCACTGTGGGCGGGAGTGTAAGCTGGTATAGCTGCTCTGGAAAATACCTTAGTGCCATCTCATAGAATTGAGCATTCGTGTAACACAGGCTTTCGGCAGCTCCACTCCTAGGTGCATACTCTTGAGAAACTCACAGTTATGCTCCCGGATCCAAGCGCAAGAACATTCCCAGCATCGTGGCTAATACAAAAACTAGAAACAAGCCCAGAGCCTTGTGTAGGGGACAAATAAATTTTACAGACATGAAAATGGACTACAGTTATGCACAGGAACCTTGATGAATCAGAAACTAGTTTTGAATGAAAAAAGCAGTTTTCAAAACACGGCATACAGTATCATATTATGAGTTTTATAAAGCTCAGACCAACCAAGACCAAACAATATATTATTTTGGGATACATACATATTTTGTTAAAGTGGTTTTTTTTTAAGTAAAAGAAAATGATATACTCGCACAGCTAGGAGAGTGGTTACCTTTGGGGAAGAGGCCTGGGAACAAGATAGGAAAGGCACACACACCAACAAACTGCAGCACTGTGTCGTGGTGAGCGTTACAGACATTAGATGTATTCTCTGCGGCCTGTCAGGCAGCATTCTTGAAGTAGATAAAGGAGCAACGCGTAGCCCGCTGGCCACGCCGCATCGTGGGGGGACTCGGGTGCCCAGCCCCGGTCCAGACATGCTGCTGTGCCGCCGGCGGGCGCGAGTGGAAGGGGCCCTGTCCCCTCCCTGACTGTGTGCTTCACTTTTTTCCCTTCTTTTCTCCTTCAGCACGTCATCTACTCCGTGAAGTTTTTTCTGTCATACGCAATTCCGGACGTATCGAAAAGCACAAAGAGCAAGATTAAGAGAGAAAAATACCTAACCCAGAAGCTTCTCCATGAGAATCACCTCAAAGATATGACCAAAAACCTGGCTGAGCACATGATAGGGGTGGTAGATAACCACTTACGGCCCAAATTAGAGTAAGGGCTTTATGTTCTGAGAAAAACCTTACAGAATTTTGGTCTGTCAAAAAATATTATGGACCTCTAATGAAAATGCTTAGAAACCTCCCCTTCTGCAGCAGAATGGGTTCTTGTTTTCCTATGTGATTGTGTTTAGGGAGTGTTTCCTTTCTTCACTTTGCCAGACCTGTGCCAGTTACCTCCCCTCACAGTGCCATCGTTAAGACGACGTGCGCTAGCTTCTGCATGGTTGAGAACTGGTCACTCGGAATGCAGCCTGATGCTGTGTGAAGTGGCAGAGAGACGAGAATTCATGATATGTAGGTGCATTATCACAGCCCCACGGAAAAGGAAACCTCAGCTAGCAGGAAACAGCTGGCGGGCTTCATTTTGGCCTATCTGCCCATCTCAAAGAAACGCTCATCGTGGACTGGAATGAGGACAGCGAGGTTCTGCAGCGTGTCTGTGCCAACCCACAGTGACACCTCTTATCTGCCAGGAGCCATCCCAGAATGGCCTGTGCCTCATCAGTGTTCACTGCTTGGCAACTCTGAAGGGAGTAAGGTGACAGAGGCGGGGAAAGTTACACTCAAAAGGAATCATAACTCCTGTTGAACAAGATCATTAATTCACCTCTTCTAAAGATACGTAGTTTCTTAAAAAAAAAAATGAAATCATGGAATTAAAAATTAGATTTCTTTCAACATAATGGTCTGGAAAAGATAAGCCCATCACTTTCCCACCAGTCGCCCTTTGTCCATTAGCTGCAGGGTGAACGGTATTGCAGGTCACAAGCACCATTCGAACGGCCCACTGCACAGCCGCTGTGACATGGTGCCGCTGTGCGTGGTTACCACCACCAAGTGCCCGAATGGTGAGCCACGCTGCGTCCCTGTCAGGAGCGCCTTTCAGCAGGGATTCTGCACGTCCATGCGATCAGGATACCAAAGCATCTGCCTTGGGCAGTTCCTTGCACCCTCCATTCTCTTATTGCCAACCCAGTAACTTGTTTGTACTTTCATGTTTGCACCAGGGGAGGGAGGGGGCAAAGGCTGGCGTACACCCAGATTATTCCAGTCAAGAAAAGACCCTGGGTTTGGTTTGCGCTTCCAGCCTCCCTAAGGCCAGTCAGGCTTTTAGGCTAATAAAATGGTTTGGTCACAAACCCTGCCATCAGCGGGAGGTAGCTTCGTGCTGAACTCCTGCACCACGCCTGTCTTGCCCGCGATGGGTTCAGCCGAGCAGTCCTTACAGTGCTTTACTGCCTTTCAGGTGCTAGGCCCTCTGGTGAACTCTAGAGAAGATGCAGCACCCGCACGCCTCACGCTGACTGGTAACGGGAGTGCTGGGTGCAGGAGACGGTGTCTGGCACCACATTCTTGCTAAATGGGCTGCCACCCACTGGGGTGCTGCTAAACGCCCAGGTGCCACAGGAGCCAAGCTGCACCGAATCCCAGCAGCAAAGGAAAAGGAAGCGTGTTTTAGTGTTTAGAGGCTTGTCATAGAGTAGGCTAACTCCAGGTCACAATTCTAAATGCCTGCCATGAATGTTTTTTAAAAAAAAAAAAAAAAAAAAAA